AAAGATATTCATGGGCTGGGTTTGGGTTCGAAGCCCGAGCTTGAAGTAGTGTGAAATGTTCATGGGACGTGTCCAACGCCCAGCCCATAAATAGGTCTAAATACAACATACCACTTTAAACTCCTTCATATTATTTGCTAAAGGGCCTTTTGCATAAATAAATTATCAAATTTGATAAGTTGGAAAATTCAGTTATGTTTAGAAACAAATTGCAAAGAAAGTGAATAAAAAGATAAATGATTTTATAAAGACCAAATTGCCCCTGTCTTGAAAAAAAATTTAGAAAAGCCACAACACCTGTCGTCTTCCTCATACAGTTATACTTCTCCCTAGGGCTGCAAGTCTGGTCGGGTTAGGTCGGGTTGAGGCCAACCCTAAGTTCTAAACCCCCAACCCTAACCCTAACCCAACCTGACATTCAAACCAGTCTACCCAATCCTAACTAAATTCCTTCAACCCTAACCCAACTTCGGGTTGGGCTAGGTTCAGGCTGGGCCCAACCCAACCTTCTTCTCATCCCTTAAAATCTCATAAAACTATTTAATCTCAATTTTTTTATCAATAACAGAAATCTTTATTGAATTCAATTAAGAATATGTTACAAAAAAGCATAAGGAGTTAAACTATCTTAACTCCCCCAAAACAAAGAAAAGATAAAGTATAGAGTTAGAAATAAGCCCAAAACAAAGAATACCTATTCACCCCTTGCTTAGCTAGCCCATTAGTGAAGGAATTTGCGGTTCTTTTCACCCAGTTGTACTTTATCTCAACATCCCTTGCCAACCAGTTGAACCTTTTCCCCTCATTGTTGTATTTCCATATTCCAATCTTATCTTCCCTCAACCAATTTACCACTACCTCCTAATCACCTTCAATAATTAATCTCCTAATATTCAGTTCTCTTTCTTTGAATCCCTTCCTTCCTCATTTCTCCCGGTCTCCCCCAATACTTGATAGCCCTGGATTCTCAATGCTCAAATCTTAACTCAATTTTAACTATATTAATCCTATGTTTTATTAGTATTTGTTTGTTGATGTTTTTATTAGTTCTTTTAGTACAAAATTCGAAAAATAAGTGTTTGAAATGACTATATTTTATTATGAATTATGAATTATGACTTATGATAGATCTTTTATGGGCAGCAAACATTAGAGAGGAAATGAAGAATAAAATATGTTATTAAGGTTTTAGTCTTTTCATTTGGGATTAAATGAAATAATTATCTTAAAAGAAAGACATGATAGTATGTAGTAAGGGTTATACAACTATCATACATCTAAACAAATCAATGTATGATATAATATATATAACATATATTTATATATGGCATATACTATAGGGTCGGGTTCGGGTTGGATCGGATTGTATAAGGGATCATCCCTAACCCAACCCAAAATAAAGTTGGATTCATGAATTTCAACCCTAACCCTAACCCGAACATCAACCCGACTTTTTCATGTTAGATTAGGGTTGGGTTTGGGCCAACCCAGCCCAAGTTGCAGCCTTACTTCTCCCTCTTCTCATTGTTTCTGCAACATTCATTTCTTTCAACTCTCCAAAGGATCATGACTGAACTCACAACAAAATAAAAATTAAAAAAAATAATAAAAAGATGAGATACTTTCTGATTTCCACAATAATTAACATCAAATGCTCATCAAATTTTGTACTTTTTCTGAATTCCAGTTTTGTACCACCTTCTCTTAGTTATTTGAACACTCAAACACTCCAACGTGATGGGATATGCTCCTCACAAATAGGCGCCTCACAGGCATATCCACGATGCATTGTTAATATCTATTTTAATTAATAAATACAGAAAATGATAGGACGTACGCATGAGGCGCCAGATGTGAGGAACAGATCCCGTCTCCACTCCAACGTCCTGAGCCTAAACACCTAGACTCTTCAACTCTATGACAAAGAGAGTTTAAGATATCCTCCCAATACACTTCCAACGTCATTCGTATCCTCACCATTATGCATGATCATATTCATTCATGTTGGCTGTTGGGACCCGCTAATTGACCCAAGTATAAAGAAAGGGAAATTTTTCGGCAGTTAATCAGCCGTTAAATAGCATTTGAAAAAGACAAATATCTTTTGAGTGTTACGAAAGGTACGAAATTGTCCAACGCAGATTTTTTATTTACACTTATGAATTAGAAACATTCAAAAAAACGACAACTTATAGAAATGCACTAATGTCTACTTGTGAATTGGCATCAATTCCGATCTAGCACTTATCTGACAATACTTTAAGCTTATAAATTTTGACCCTGGACCACAACCCACAGTTTATGTACCAACGTTATTCTCTCTTTAATGTATTGGATAAAATACAAAAACCTTCTTTGAAATTTCTGACAATCATAAAAACCTCCCCTCTAATTTCATTTTAAGCAACTAGATTGATTGATGTAGGAATTTCTTCCAAATACCCATTCTACTCTTTTAAGCAACCCGTGTAACCGATAGAACCGAGATTAACCCCCGGCTAGATCTAGTAGAAAATCAACTAGATTCATGAGATTATCCCTCGGTATGTAACCAATAGAACCAAAATATTCGAGTGCCTGAGATGTGACGTCGTTGTATATCGGGCACCTATCCGATAACACCACTAGCTTATCAAACATCCGATACAGTCGGCTCGATGGCTGGTGTATCGTCATCATCACCGTTCTTTCGCCTCTTGCGAGCCCCTACAATGTTGCCATGATACGCTGAGGGGTGGTGGAGTCGAGCCCCGACATGGGTTCATCCAGCAACAACAGACTCGGGTTCACCAACATCTCTTGCCCAATACTGACCCGCTTGTAGGTGATGCTGCCGGAGAACTTCCCCGATGTAGGTTAGCGTCTCCAGCACGGTGAGGTGGGGATACAGTATGTCATCTTGTGACACAAACCCGATCTTGCGCTTTATGGAGCCAGAGAAGGTCTGCCCATTGTAGGTGATGCTACTGGAGAACTTCCCCAGAAGCCTACCTGCCAGGGCCATCAAGAGCATCATTTTCCCACTACCAGATGGGCCGAGCATTGCTAGGAGGTCGCCCGGTCGAACAACCCCAGTAACACCGTTGAGTATGGTGCATTCAACAGGCTTGGGTTCCAGTGTAGAAAACCAACATCCGTCGGACTTCTTCAGCTTTATACTGTAACTCACATCTTCAAACTGCAAAGAACGAATGCATGTACGACGAAATTAAAATTCAATGATCCATATGTAACTTGAGAGCATGAAGAGCATAAGCTTCACCTAATTACCTTGAGGGTGATAGGGTGCAACGACCCACGTAGTAGTGAGCACTGCCCGCCCATGGTTGCCTGTAGTTGCTCAAGCATCTGATCATCCGAAGACAAGCTGACGTTATTGGACAAAGCAAGCAGCTCAGAGCGTGGCATGCCCATGATATTGTCCAAGTTGCGGTTCACAGCGAGGACATTATTGTTAGACCCATTAGTACTGATTCCAATCTCTTTCTCAGGGGAACGCATCATCTTGTCTAGAGTAATCTAGAGAGAAGGTGACCGAAAAAACAAATTAAATGGGTTTGGAAGACAAAGATGAAGTAAGGTTTCAACCCTTTATATATGCAGATAGATGGAGAGAGAGAAAGACGTTTCATAGGTCGTGGACGTTTCAGCTCTTCCAAACCATTGCAAACAGTAGGTAGGAGGCCAAATGTCTTCTTTATTGTGAAAAAACAAAGATTTAACCAAAAAAAAAAGTAAAAACACTCAAAAAACTAATCGGGTCGGCGCATGACCCGTCTGACAGTTCGAGAGAAGAAGACGACCTACACGGTCAATGAGACTTGTTTTCGAAAAGCCTGGATACAAAAGACGGGTCCAGCCGATCCAGTCCGTACAACCAAACCCGTGCACCATACAGGTCTAATTCGTATATTATACGGGTTGCTTAAAAGAGTAGAATGGGTATTTGGAAGAAACTGCTACATCAGTCTAACCTTTTCCATCTGAAAAGTGAAGAAATGGAGGTTTTTGTCAAGTTTTTCAAAAATTTAGAGGAAGTATTTATTAAAATAAAATTAGAGGAAAAGTTTTTATGATTATCAGAAACTTTTAATATATTTTATAAACCATACAAATGTCTTTTTCAACATTTGGATTTGAGTTTTTTGTATTTTACCCTATTATAAGAAACTTCAGCATTTGAGTTTATTAGTGTTTTTTCAACATTTGGATGATTTATAAAATAAATTAAATGATGTTTAAGGATATTTATGTTTTTTCAAATGTCACTTGATCAAGTATTAAATTTACACGTTGGGTATTGAATTGTGGCTTTAAGGATAAAAAATGACACCAGGCCCAATTGCAAGTACTATTCATTGAAAGAAATCTAATGATTACGATTAGACTTGTTCATGGGCCGGGCCGGGCTTTCACTTGTCACTAATGAAAATATATTAGGCCCGAGCCCGAGTCCGGCCCGACCAGCGGTACTATAACTTGGGCCCGAGCCCGGCCCTGATAAAAAGCCCGAAGCCCGACCTAATTGAAAAAATAATAAGTTTTCTTATTCAAATTAGAATTAAAAATTCAGATAGTATTTTTTTTTCTATTTAAATGAACAATAGGCTACAAGATGGTATTTATTCCTTTTCCTTTATATTTTAAAACACAATTTTATATTATTAAATCAAAAAATTTATTCAAATGGATATAATCGCATAACTCATTTTAAGTTTAATATTAGGTCGGGTCGGGCCGGGCTCGGGCCGGGCTATTTTGGCAAAGCCCGAGCTCGGCTCGAATTTTATGCGGGCCGGGCTTTTTGGCCCGAGGTTAAGCCCGCGGGCCAAAAAGCCTGTTCAAGCCCGTCCGGAAGCTGGGCCGGGCCGGGCCGGCCCGTCGGGCCACCCGGCCCATGAACAGGTCTAATTACGATCACCGCTTCAACAAATTGCTCTGTATATCCGTATTTTCTTTCGATTTCATAATTATCCAATCTTGGTTAGATTTATCACAGATTCACAGTTGATGAGGGTTAGCTCTTCTCCAAGATCCTATTCAGTCTGCTCTGTTTGGCTCCATACTCCTCGACAAAGCAAACGTGGCATCACAGTAAAGTGTCCCAACTACCAACTCGTGAAGCTTGATAAGAGAGCCTGAATTCTCGTTTTCTTTGAAGTTAGAACGACGTCGTGAAATATTAAATATGGGCGGAGAAGGAAGAGTCTTCTCCTCTTGTTCTGATTCATGGAGGGACCGAATTCATCTCCTGAAAATTTCAAACATGATCTCAGAGATATATTCCTTATGGAACAAGAACAACCCATCAGTTCTACTGCTACACAGGTAAAAGAGATTCTTTCTCTTATGGCTTATAAGAGAGAATATCACCCATAAGGGATGTGAGATTCTCTGGGCTTTCCATGTTTGGGATTGAGACAGATTTTGTTTGGTGGGTGACTTAAATTTTTGTTTATTTGTTTGGGGGAGTGTGGGGGAGTTGGAATTGATTCATGGGATTTGATGGGCTTTACTTGAGGTTATCTCTTGGCTTTCTTGCTTTGTGTTCGATGAAGTTTCTGTGAGAGTTGGAGCATTCCCTCTCTTTCAATTGTGCTGATAGTACACGTTCATCATCCACTGCAGAATCTTGGGATGTTTGGCACTTGTTTTGTTTTAACTTTGAGGTATTTTAATATGTTTGATTCTGATTGTCTGGTTTGGTTGGTAAGTTTTTGGAATTGAACCAATTACCATAGTGCTGCAAGTTTAGTAATTTCTAGATTTTGTTGTCATGAACTTCCTGGTTTATCAAATCTTTCTCAGGAGCCAATTATGTCAGATTGTGCAGGCTAGAGATTATAAAATCAGGAATTCACGGGAAGAAGACATTCTAAAGTTAAGCCAAAAGCAGGAGGCCGAGCTCATTGGCTACGATGGAAAGCCTACAGATGTCAAAATTCCTAACCCCAACCCCATGAAGGACCCAGACACTTCTTTGGCTTCCACTGAACAGAGACCCAACAACATAAACGCCAGTGAGCAGCCCGTAACTACATCTGAGGAACCCGAAGGGCGTCGCAGGGAAACTAGAGAATCTGGCATCAATGAGGGGGACTCGCAGAATTTGGGTATGGTCCTGAATTCTGATAAAGCATTCTGTGGAGTGCAGATAATTATACCTCAATAGTCTATGGACACCATCCTTCATCAGTTGGATCTAACTAGACTCTTTCTTGTATTTGTGTTTTCTGTAGGTATTAAACAAAACAAAACAGCAAAATCTCGTTTATATGAGATTTGTGCTTACCATTACTGGAAGCCTCCGGTCTTTGAATGCTGGAAGGAAGACGGACCAGACCACCATAAGCTGTAAGTGTAGCAAAACAGCCATAGCATTTTGTAACTACAAGGTTTTAAGGGCTTGAACCCATTTGGCTCTGTTTTTCTTTTTCATTTATGCTAGAGCAACTGAGCAAATGTGCTCAAGTTTCTTTAGTCTCAGGATGTGTTTGGGAGTGCTTATATCAAGTGCTTATTGAGCTTATTGCTTATCAGAAGCCAAAAGCACCCAAAAAAGCCTGAATTGGCGTTTGGTAAAAAAGCCTAAAAAGTCCGTTCAGAAGAAGCCAAAAATTCTGAGCTTTTGGCCTTCTATGTTTTGGAGAAGCCTTTTCATAAAGAGAAGACCTGTTTAGAACATTAACCAAACACTCAAATGTGCTTATCTAAGTAAGCACTTAATCAAAAAGTGCTTGTTCAAAAGCCCGTTTAGAAAGAAAAAGCACTCCCATACAAGGTTCAAAGTATCGAGGAGCCCTAAACCGGCCCCCCTGAACCGGTTTTGAAAAAAATAAAAAAAAATGGTTAAGAAAAGGGTATCAATTCGCGGGTGTATCAATATTTTGAACCTTGCTCCCATACACAGCCTCAGACAATGAAGGGGTGGTGAATTAAATTATCAGTTGAAGTTTTGAACTACTACTTCACATTGAACAGATGCTTTGGAATTAAATTTAGGGATATTATAATTAACTTGCATCACTACTGAGTATCTTGCAAGCTAGTTTTACTCTGAATATGGCATAGGTTCACATTCAAGGTCATTGTGGAGATAGAAGAAGAAGCCAATTTGGTCTTAGAGTGCTTTAGTGCTCCTTGTGGAAAGAAGAAAGCTGCAGCAGAGCATGCAGCAGAAGGTGCATTGTGGTACCTTCAGCATCAAGGGTATCTGCATAAGGGCAAATAATTCAACGGTGAAATTGGGTTGCTGCATGGTATGTCACTCCATGCTTCCTATAATTGAAATAATGCCCAAAATGATGCATCAGATGTATTTCTATAGGTTTATTTTGGTCCTGTAAGCCTGCAGAAATTTGACAACATAAGGATGACCAAGTTGACATGAATTAAACATTGTTTTATTATTTATGCTGATTGTAGAGTCTAAAGAATGGTAGGGTTACGTTTTACCCTTTCCAT